AGCGGTACGTGGGAAAAAAATATCGGGAAATTCTTTTTTCGGATGAAAAAATTTTTACCTTAGAAGAGAGCTACAACAAACAAAATGATAAGGTGTACGCACACAGTAGTGAAGAAGCGAGCACCCGTATTCCGCGTGTCCAACGAGGTCATTTTCCATCTTCGCTCATGGTATGGTTGGGAGTTTCTTATTGGGGCTTAACAGAGGTCCATTTTTGTGAGAAAGGTGTAAAAACGAATGCAGTTGTGTATCAAAATACAGTCCTGACGAACCTTGTGGAACCTGTTTCTCATACCATGTTCAATAACAGGAGCTGGGTATTCCAACAAGATTCGGCGCCAGCTCATAGAGCGGAGAGCACACAAGACTGGCTGGCGGCGCGTGAAATCGACTTCATCCGGCACGAAGGCTGGCCCTCCTCCAGTCCAGATTTGAATTCGTTAGATTACAAGATATGGTAACATTTGGAGGAAAAGGCGTGCTCAAAGCCTCATCCCAATTTGGAGTCACTCAAGACATCCTTGATTAAGGCAAATACCGATATTGACATGGACCTCGTTCGTGCTGCGATAGACGACTGGCCGCGCAGATTGAAGGCCTGTATTCAAAATCACGGATGTCATTTTGGATAAACTTTAGTGTCATAAGAATCTATGTTTTGTTAAGTTCATTTTGGTATATGAATAGTTACATAATGAATAAACTTGTTTCAATTATTTTACATTAATCATGTGACAGAATTTATGACCTGACTAGGTACATATTATTATTTCATTTTTCTCTATACACCTTGTTTCTCGCTACACCCAGAAATACTAACAACGCAATACTAGAAATAAAAAAATATTAATCTAATCACGTTCACAACTTATGTCACGAAACAAAACTAAAGATATAATGTTTTTTTTTTCTTAGCTCCTACTTGTGGAAAAGATGAAGTCTACAATGATTGTATACAAGGGTACTGCCAACCGAAGAATTGTTCGGAAATAGGGAAACCCGTTGCTTGTCCAAGAATAGATCCCAAGAATTGCATCAAAGGGTGCTTGTGTAAAGAAAACTACGTCAGAGCTGATAATGGAACGTGTATACCAAAAACCGACTGTCGTGAGTACTTACAGTTATTAGTAAATATTTCATAATTTAGTTAGAACTGTTCATCCTCATTGTTTTTCTATTCCCCTTTTCCTCTCGTATGTATGTTAGTATGACTGGTCTCCATTTAGAAGAGCTTCGGATAGTACAGTCTTACTTTTTTTTGAAGCCAATTTCTATGTTATTGTCGGACATGGTTAGCCATTGTCGTATCGTAGATTTAATAATACGTCAAGACTTTATGACTCAGCTGTCTAATTATTATGATATTTTCAAACTAAAGAGTCAATTCAAATCTTAGCAATTACAGCTGACACGCATGGATACCATAATCAAAATTAAATCTTATATCTCAAAGTGGGTATTTTTTGGTTTGTATGGAGTTTTGTAACTGCGGAAATCGGGTGGATGCATAAACTTGTCTATAAATTTAGTAGTACTACAGTAGTACAACTAGTAAAATAAAGGCCAATTTACCGTGAATTATCTTATTGAATATCTTATTATGAATTATCAAGCATCCTGCGGTGGAGACAACAACGCTCGTTCCGGCTGCGGCGTGAACTGTAACAAACGGTGTAGCGATATCGGAAAAGAGCCAGGAGCATGTATTGCAATTTGCTATGACAATGCTTGCGATTGCAAAGAC